CGAGTCTCGGTCCGTTTGTCACATCGCAGTTTTGTATGTTTGCCCGTTTTATTTATCAAGGTAAACAGATAACGAACTGAATCGAGTGGTGCGTGCGACGAAGCCATCTGCTTGCACTACGAATTCAAAATGAAACTCCCTCCCCGACCGCACACACAAACACACGCACATACACGCGTGTGCATACATACCTTCATATGAGGTCCCATTTTAATAACAATTGCTTTTATTACATAAGTTATTTAGCTTTCAAAAATAAAAATAAAGTAAAATTCATAACACTGTAAATAAAAGAGTTTTATTGTTGTGTCAATAAGTCCGTGGCCTAATGATTGAAAAAGCATTTTATATAGCGTGTGGTAGGAATACCTCCCAGATATACCATTCCACATAGTAATAAGACATTAAGCGTCTTCATTCAGCTAATGTTTTATTATTATGCGGGAGGTTTTTCTGCCGCACCATGTAAACAAATACTTTTTTGTGCATAAGTTTTTTTTTTTAATATTTTTCTTATCACCTGTCCCATCAAGACGTAAGCGATCATAAGTCTTTGAAATTTCCTTTTTTTTATTTTCTGTGAATCGCCAGTAATTCTTTGGAAAGATAATGGTTTCCTCTTCTTTTTTCTACGGCTTGGAATTCAGAGTTGCTTTCTCCTAGACTGGATGCCGCAAAAAGCTACAGGATCGAATCTACCCTGTGATTTAACTTATAGCCAAAGATGGAAGTTGACTTTCAGTTCGAAAGAGACTAATCCAAGATTTGAACTCGGTTCGTCGATTCTACATCCCGCACTTCTAACCGTTACGCTACCTCCACACCCAGTCGTATGGACCTAACGTTATACAGTGAAAATTTCTGATCAAAAGTCATCTAATCATTATGTCTGTGCCAGGCTACGGACATTAAACCTTCCTCCGTATATTTAAGTGACTTTTTAGTGAAGGGCTTATATTTGGCCAAGACATTAAGACAATATTAAAAAAGTGATTGTTTTATTTTGACCTTTCGGAAAATAATCAGAGATGTTATTAGCAAATAAAATTTGTGTAGTTTTGTGATATTTCCCTTTCGTGTTCGTCGGAAATCGGGGAGGCTTATACTTTGTCTCCGGTGCAATGAATAATAATAATAATAATAATGATGATGATAATAATAATCGCACGACAGAATGTGCCAATAACTGCACTGGAAAATCTGTAACACTTACGGAAAGGAAACTGCAAGAAATTGGTATGAACACCACCCAGACTCGGTTACAGAGATCGGACTTGTAACAATTTTATGAGACTTTACAATACACAGAGAGAGAGAGAGAGAGAGCAATCAAAGATAATGGCCCTGGCATCGTGTTTAGAGACCGCAAAGACAAAATGTGCCTTCTTATTGACATTGCATGGAACAAGATGAAGCCTATAAGTATCTAGGAACTAGCGAAGGAAATGGAGTTCAGCATATTCAAATAAAGGAGAAAATAAGAAAGGAATACTAGAGGCGTGTGCGTCTGGTACTGAATACCGAGCTGGATTCAAAAAACGGAATATCAGCTGTGAACACCTTGGTAGTCCCTGTGGTGCAATACAGTTTCAACATCCTTAGCTAGACCATAGCTGACATTAAGCGAATGGACGCCAAAACGAGAAAGCTTCTCACCTGCCATCATCCCAAAGTTAAAAGTTGATCGTCGGTATGTGGCCAGATCCGAAAGAGGCAGAGGATTAGTTCAACTAAAACTGTCTTACAAAACAACAACAATTGGCCTTCAAAGATACTAGGAAACTACAGAAGACTGGATGATGATCTGTGTCAAAGAACATGAAAGTAGTAAGCGACTTTTCAATAATAAAGGCAGGCAACAAGTTCAAAATGAAATACAAGTAAAGCATAATACACCGACTGAAAGTGTAAAATACTTAAAAAAAGAAAGCAAAAGTAAATGCAACCGACCAGATACAGAAACAATGACAAGATAATCCTCTTTATAGTCTACCCGTACCAAACAAGTTGATGTTGACAAACTCTGTACTCATCAGTGGCTACGTAGTGCAGGGTTAAAAGCTGGAACCAAAGGTTTTATTCTTGCTGCACAGGACCAATGCTTACTATCTAGAAATTACCAAGCACACATACTGAAAAATTGTGTTAGCCCAAAATGCAGATTCTGTGATATATATCCAGAAACAATTGACCATCTTGTATCAGGTTGCACGGTATTGTCACCTACTGAATATAAAACCCGGCATGACAGAGTGGGCTAATATCTGTACTGTAAAATCTGCAACTTCTAACAGAAAGGAAACTGCAAGAAATTGGGATGAACACCACCCAGCCCTCGTTACAGAGATAGGGCCTGTAACAATTTTATGGGACTTTGCAATACACACAGACAGAACAATCAAATCTAATCGCCCAGACATCGTGATTAAAGACCCACAAAAAAAAATGTGCCTTTCCTTATTGATATGGCAGTCCCTGCAGACTTTAATGTATCTTTGAAGATCTTCAAAAAAAACTATCAAAATACAAGGAGCCTGAAGTAGAAATCTCAAAAATGTGGCACATGAGGACATCAATAATTTCAGTTGTTGTTGAAGCCTTCGGATTGATTGGAAAAAGATTCCGATAGACTCATTGAAGGGATTCCTGGAAGCCCATGCCTTAAAGAAATATAAAAAATTGTTTTCACAAGTACAGCCCACACCTTACGAAGGGCTTTATCTATTTAAAAAATATTTAATTTTTTTTTTTGCTCAGTGGAAAATGTCATGATGCCATTTCTGACCTTAGGTCTCTGGTTGGGACCCGGAAAGAAATGTGTACACAAATCAGAAATCAAAGGAAATATAATAATAATAATAATAATAATAATAATAATAAATAATAATATTAATAAAAAAAAATGGAATTTTAATTTAATAGAATTTTCATAATCAGACAACAACTTTTGGCTTACTACCAAATGAAATTTTAAAAAATGACTGGATGATAAAATTAATGAAACAAAATGGTTGACAAAAAGTATTCAAAATAAAAGAATAACATTTAAATCCAAAACAACATTTACATTTATAAATTCTGTTTAAAGTAAATCAAAACAAAGCCAAATTTAAATTGCAACTATTTATGAAAAAAATTTAGATAAAGGATAAAATACAGAAATCAACAACGCTGGCAAAATAAACCTCTTTTTTAATATCCAGAACGTGCTCAATAAAACCCAATGTTGATAAAAATATTTTGTTCATCGATGGTTACGAGCATCTGGATTAAAGTCTGAAACTGTTAGGTTTTATTCTTGCAGCTCAAGACCAAAATTTTCACTAGGATAAAAATTTCAGGCAAATATCATATTAAAAATAATGTGGATCCAAAATGCAGGTTCTGTGACAAATACCAAGAAACAATAAACCATCTAATCTCAGGATATATTCTATATTTTTTTCCCCATAATGAATAAAAATCGACATCCAGTGGGGCAATACTTACACTGGACAATTGCAAACACTTTGAAAATGTGTAAGCAAACATTGGTATGAACATCATTTATCGGTTACAGAAATAGAAGATGTCACCATTCTGATGGGATTATACCATCCACAAGACAGAAAAATTGAAGCAAATAGGCCGGACATTATTGTCAAAAAAAGAAAGAAAAAAAAAATTGCCTACTAATTGATATGGCTTTCCAGCGGATTTAATAACATATCAACCAAGGAATTTGAAAAACTATCAAAATACAAAGACCTGGAAATTGAAATAGAAAAAATGTGGAAATTGAAAACAAGAATAATACCAGTGGTAATAGGTGCACTTGGAATTATAAAAAAAATCTAACAAAACAACACATTGAAAAAATCCCTGGAAACCCCAGCTTAAGAGACATACAGAAAATTGTCTTATTAAGTACAGCACACACACTAAGGAGAACTTTGTCTATGTAACGCTAACACTTCATCGGAGATAAAAAAAAAAAAAAAAAAAAAAAAATTATTAATGTGAAATGTAACAACATCTGTACACGACCTGCCTTAGGTCTTTCCAGCAGACTTGGTAGGTTCATATGTCCATAAAAAAATCGATATGATGATAATAATAATAATAATAATAATAATAATAATAGAACTGAGAATACAAATGAAAGCATAAAATGCGAGTTCAAAAACGCAAAGAAAAATAACTCTACTGATAAAAACAACATGGATAAGGCTGTGAAAAAATTTATTTGAAAAAAAAAACGCATTCATCCAATAAATGGCCTTAATGACTAAAGATAGGAAACTATATGAACAGCTAATATGTTTCCAATAAATTTTATTTTATCTGATAATATCATTGTTGATTAAAAAAAGTATGTAGTAAATTAACTTAGAAATGGAAATTTTAATTTCTGGGTTGAATAGGTTTCACTTTTACAGTGCAACACTGATCATCTTAAAAATAAAAAGAAAATTTATCAGATGGCAGATTTTGCCTTTATTTCAAAAAAAACAAGACTTAAAATGAAAAAAAATCATTTAAAATTAAATTGAAAATCTTGCTTCACTTCTCCCATTCAAGCCACTTTTTACAACAAAAGTTGAAATAATCGAGTTCGAAATAATAAATAAAATATGATAAAATGAATAAAAGGTGAGCGAAAAGAAAGAACTGGGATTTCACTTCATACTAAAAGCTCACTACTTTGATTTCAAAAGAAGGGATCTCTCAATTTTTTCATTTTTCAACCCCCATAATTTTCAACAATTCCTTTCCTAACACCTTTACATTTTTTTTTTTTGTTCATCCTGAACGGTTTATTTAATGCGGACAATTTTGAAAACAAATAGACTCTGATTTATCACGTAAAATTCTTCTTTCGTAGGAAAAAGAAAAAAAAAATAGTGAAATAAAATATCCCATCTTCCCTGGAAAAATTGAAAGATATAAAAGGTTTTTCTTCTTTTTTTTTCTTTTTTTCTTTATACGGTTTTCCTTTTTCAATCATTTTTATTTATTTGATGATTTCCTTATCGCTATCTCCTTCTATAGCATCTCTCCCTTTTCTTCTGATGTCTTCTTCACTCTCTCTTCTTCCTTTTATCATTTTCCTTTATTTTCCCTTCATTCTTCTGGTATTTTCTTTCATTCTTCTTCAGTCTTTTTATTCTTTTACTTTTTCAGTTTTTGGTATATTTTTCCCCGCTTCTTTTCGTATTTCCTCGTCGCTTCATTTCACTTTTTCATTAATCTTTTTTTTTCCTTCTTTCTTTCATAATTCGAAATCTAACTTTAATTGTTTTCTACTTGAAAAAAATCAAATCAACCCATTTTTCATTCTTACTGCCTTTCTTCATTCGATCTTTTTTTATATTATTCATTGAGTTGCTTTCTTTATTCTCATATTCTTTATTCTCTTATTAGTGTCTCTTCGTATACTTTTTCTTTCATATTCGTCTTTCTCCGCTTCCTTCTTTTTCTTATCCTTCTTTTCCTTCTTTTTTCTTCCTTCATCTCTATCGATTTCCTTCTTCATCTTTGTTTCTCTTGTCTTCCTCTTCTAATTGTTCTTTTGATCCTCCCTCCATTTCTTTCGCCTTTTCTTTCCTTGTACTTATTTCTCTTCTTTTTCCTTATAATTATCTTCTTCTTCTTTTTCTTCCTTTTCTTTTTCCTCATTTCTCTTTCCTTCCATCTTACCCCCTCTCCTTCATCTCGAACAATCCATTTAAACTCTCTCTCCTTTCTCTTCTTTCACCCTCAGCCAACAACTTATTTTCCGTTAAATTCCAATTCACCTCAATTTTTGATCATCACAATTTCAAAAAATACACATTTCAATGAAGCCACCCTGGCGAGCCACGTGACCCTGCCAGCCTCACTCTCCAAGACTTTCATGGCAGTTCATTGAATAGCAAACTCTCATTGCCCATCGCAGCAGAAGAACGCCTTCCAGTACCCGACCCGACCTACCCGACTCGGTGCTTTGCCACCTGAGACGATTTGGGACCACGTCCCGACATTGTGGGCGGATGAAGACAAAAATAACAGGTGAGGAATAATTTTATTAAAAAATTAAATTACACATTTTTGTTTAAATTACAGGAGGAGGAGAACGGCGCCTCCAAAGAAAAAAGGTAATTCAAATATTTGATTTACCTATGCCAAATCATTTGCCAAATTTTTTTTACCTGCCTTTGACAACCTATCTATCCTCATCCCGTAACTCTCGCATACAAAGCGTAGTAGGTATTGACAAAAACGCAAAAGAAACAGCTGCTTAGCTAAGTGCTGAGATAAAAAATAAAACATCCCATCATTATATTCATCATATATATATATATATATATATATATGTATGTATGTATGTATATATTTAAGTGTGTTTACATACATATCTTTACACAAACTTCTAACCACACTGAAATGCACGATTGACTCCAAATAAATGTTAAATACAATTATTAGACCCCCCTTATCTGCGTCTATGTATATATCTTATAGAATTTATATTATATGCACATACATATACCACACACATTTTACACATATATATATATATATATATATATAATTTTTTTATTTTGTCAATTTTGACCAAACTCACAATATAAAAACACCTTATATACTCCATTCATCTATATATTAATATATATATATATATATATATATATATATATATATATATATATATATATATATATATATATATCAGCAAGTAATGTAACGGTTATCTGAACGAAAACGGATTTGACAAATTAAATACCAGATGAGACATGTGTTCACTAATGTCCTTTAAAAGGCATGATATCCTTCCTCCTAGATTCTGTTCAAAAAAAATGTGATTAAAAAATATTTTGTCACATATCATAACAGTTTATATATATATATATATATATATATATATATATATATATATATATATATATATATATATAATTTTTAAAAAAAAATTCAACGAAAAGCCGTTTATTGAAATAAAAGTCAACACACTAAATGCTATATTAAAAAATTAAACTGACGACATAACAAATAGCAAAATCTTTTAAAATATCAAGTGTTAGCCAAAAGTGCTTAATCAGGAAAGTTATATTTACGAATGTGAACAGAAAGACAGTAAAATTCGGTTTCATACTTAAACACAATCTTCAAGCCAAAACATTGTTTCAGCATGAAACTGTCGCTACTGGGTGTTGACTTCAATGTCCAGTTTTTTATTTGCATAAACTCTATCCAGATATTAAGCATTTTAACTTATAAATATAACATACCTTAAAACTACTTTTTATTATATATATATATAATTATTTATTGGAAAATTATAACAGAAAATGTTATAAAATCACTACAAAAATAGCCATTTTGTTTCATTTTTGTTAAAACACCATCACTTGAGAAGTGTTGAAACAAAATTGCTATTTCTGTAGTGATTTTATAACATTTATGTTATATAATTTTTAAATAAATAATTATATTTGCTCTACTCTCTATTGAGCACTCTTTTAAGAATAGTATTTGTTGCTTATTAAAATTTCTTCCGTATACACCAATCCTATACTTGTATATATATATATATATATATATATATATATATATATATATATATATATATATATATATATATATATATATATGAGATTGTAAGTATAAGATTGGCGACAAAGTATAATCCCTTTACAGTTGAAATGGCTAGATGTAACCGTAAGTTCTATGCTAACAGTTTCTTCTATAGCAATTCTCGCTTGTGGAACCCTCTTCCAGTTTCATGCTTTTCTGTTAACTTTGATCTTCAAAAATTTAAATGTAATGTTAATCGTTATCTTCTGTTGTCTGAATTCTTGTTCATTTAATGTCTTCTCTCTAACAATCAGTAACACCTTGTGACTTAGTCGCTTTATTGACTTCCTTGTTGTGCAAAGATTTAAAATATCCTCTTGACTACAGCATATGTGGTATCTTAGAAAACAAGGTTTCTGCTACACCTCACGACAGTTTAGGGTCTTTGAAAGCAATCTCTCTTGAACGAATGAATCAAAATCCTCCAAAGTGTGATCTGTGTCAAATGCTAATTATTCACCAAGCCTCTTCAGTAAGTTATTGACACACAAAAACGGAGGCATATTGAATAGATTTTGTATCAAATAAGTTTATGAACATTTAGTTTTTGTTTCCGTTCTGTAAAACATTTACAAATTGTTTTGTTTAATAAAGATAGACTCAAAAACTTGTAATTATAATTATTGAACACCCAATTGATAGACAGTAATAATAATAATACATTTAGTACCTCTCCATATAAAAACTAACATAAACACGTGCACTCTTAGCTATAAAAGTAAATGTCCTAATTAATAAAAAATAGCTATTATACGAAATTTAATAAACCGTGCAAAATCAAATTTTTCAACAAAAAGTATTTTCTACACTGAATTAAAAATATTAAACAAACCCTCATTAATAATGACTTTCCTAATTACATCGCTGATTAATAAATTAAATAAGATATTAGGAATATAAAATAGATAAAAATGAATACAAATAAGTCTAAATATATCAAATTACTATACCGTAATCAAATACATTCTAACTATAAACAGGAGGAAAAATTCTACAAAGACTCATAAACATTAATGTAGCCCCCACTGTACCAAGTAAAAAAAAAGTGAGGTTGCTTGTATACTATACTAAATTTAATAAAACCAACCGAGTTGTCAAAAACATTTTTTCCGTCAACGAGCATCTTACAAAAGGCCAACATTGTATATCAATTTAGATGATCTTTAGGAGATTCCATCTCTGATAAAAATGTTAATACGTATGTTGGTTTTAGAACGACAATCCTGACGAGAAGGCTTACATTTCCTTTGGATGAGCACAGTTCAATCTTACAGCATTTAAAAGAATACTCATGTCCACATTCACAGTTTAAACAAATATTAGTTGAAAATACAAGTATATTACACCAAAGGCTTAAAATCCTAGAAGCGCTTTAGATAAGAGAATTAAAGCCAAAAATAAAGTCAACTATGAGTATAACAATAAAGTTCTTAAGTGTTTGTAGCAGCAAAGTTGTACACGCACGCACACACACACACACACACACACACACACACACATATATATATATATAATAAATTAAGAAATACAAAGGTTGCCTCTCTTGCATGGGAAAAAAATTGTGAATTTGAAATTGATATAGAACGATAGAAAACGCAGTAAAACGAACAATCAAAATGTTTTGAATTTACAAAAATACGTCTACAAATTTAACCCCATGAAGATGATCTCAGATGAGACTGAAAGTACCTGGGAAAATAAAAATGATAAAACTTTGGTATTTTTCTTAATAAATTTTCTACGAATTTTGATTCGTGGACTCAAAAGGATTAAAACGAAAATAAACAGACATAGTATATCAAAATTATTTAAATCAAACTTGTTTGAACAAACAAACAAACACACACACACACACACACACACACACACACACACACACACACACACACACACACACACACATATATATATATATATATATATATATATATATATATATATATGGTGAAATTGTATGACAAATTGGAAAAAATTCACTTGTGTCGTATTTCGTCCTTCAGGACCATCGGAATAAATTTGTTATATTGGTAAGACTACACATGCGCACAGCAGAGGAGTGCTGGGAATTTTAGATTTTGTTTTTTATCTAGCCGAATTCATGTAAAGTCTTTTTCTTTCCATCACTTTTGTAAGTAGGTATCCTACACTGTGATATTAGAAGATCTGCCAGGAATGGTGAAATGTTGTAAGAGCCAGGTCGCAAATTTACTGTAGGTGACCTTGCTATTAGAGCACTATCTAGATTTACGTCGTAGTGAATTATTTGTTCCTTTGAACAAAGCAGCATTTTTTCATATAAAGATCGTGGTCTTCTCGTTACGGTGAGCAACCAACACATTTGATGTATTATTTTGTAAAATGTCCCTTTTGTGTTCATACAATTCCTTATTTAGATTCGTTGTATTTATTGTGACTATTATTACAGGAGATGGATTAAACTTCCACTTTAGGTTTTAGCTTATTGTTTTCTTTAGTATTGTCTTTTATTGTTTTGAATGTAGTAGTAACAAATTTTATGTTGAGTTTAGAGAGATTCTTTTCAGTTGTAGATGTGATAGAATTAGCAGGCAGGATAATATATTTTTTAATTCATTGGGTTTCTCATGAGATGCCGTCAATTTTGCTTTTAGAATATTTTGTGGGCCTTTTGTTTTGGATTAAATATAAAATAATTAGGGTGCTGGTGAAGTTTTCATTGTATTTCTCTTCTTCATACAAATAATCCGGGCTGCATATTCTTAGTGCTGATTATGCCGGATTATGCCGGATCTTATTTTGTTGTTATGATGAGAGAAGAAACTTTTAGGTCTTTTTTGTTGGTTGATTTATGGCCCCTCCTGAGAATTCGGCTAGATGAAAAAACTTTAAAAAAATCTAAAATTTGTCGTGCGTATGTGTAGTTCTACCAACATAACAAAATTTAGTCCGTTGACATCCTGAAGAACGAAATGCATTAAACACACACACACACACACACACACACACACACACACACACACACACACACACACACACACACACACGTGTATATATATATATGTATATATATATGCGTGTGTGTGTGTACGTGTGTGTGTGAGTGAGTGAGTGTGTGTGGAAGATAATGAAATAAAAGATAATAAAAATTTAGTAAAATGTTAAAATATATATTTATTTGAATAAAAACTTAATAAAAACAATGACGTACAGAATAGTATTTTATTCATATGCATGAATGTAAATTGTATAAAGAATATGTAATATCGCCAATTACGGAGAGATGCAAAGCGTGTAGAGAGAACCTGGAAACTAACAAGGAACACCTGAAAGTACAATGCTGGGGAATTCTCCCAGGAAACAAATAGATGAAGGTGTGGATCAAATAACTAATCAACATAAGAGATACCACGGAAGTGATTAAATGGCAAAAACGGAACTGGGCGCGATCTATCGCA